CATTTTTCCAGAGACTCATCATTACCACGTCTACACTCGCTCACCTCATCATCCGACGATTCTGAGACACAATCACAAGTAAACTTTGTCGCTCTCTGTCAAATGCATCATTATCCTGAATACAATATGTCTGGAAAACAAAAACCTCTGTTTGTCTTGTTTCGGTTTCTAACAATGCCTTCGCTTTTGCAATATGGAGGCTCACAAAGCCGCCCCTGAAGATTTGCTCGTTTGAGTCCGAGGTTGAGCAAGACGTCCCTCAACTGAATGTTTACATAAAATTAGCCAATTTAGCTGCATATCAGGGAAGTGGAGCGTCTGGCAGACAGACGCACAAACTCAAACTGGAAAAAAGAGGCTCAATATTCCTGTTGTCCCAAAAAGACAGATAAAAAAGTATTTTTTTTAAAAACACAGATTGCGCTGTGGCCGTGAAGTCCTGATGTTTCAGGATGCTGAGTGTCACTGTCAGCTTGGCCTGGCATGAAAGCAGAGCGAGAGTCGCAGCACCAGGCGGAGCCCTGACAGGCCGAGGTAGAGAACAGGGCTCGAGAGATGACACACAAAAAGCAGGAGTAAACTGAAATGAGCACAAACACACTCACACACTGATTGTGCCGATCCGGTGCCAGTAAATTGCTCTGTGCTGGAGAGCTTAGAGAGGCATCAGAGAGCCTGGGCAGCATCCTGCTCTGAGCTGCAGATCCCAAACCGACTGAATGTGGATGCTTGGCCCAGTCGGCTGGATCAGCCGCTAATACACAGCCTGGGACCAGGGAATTACTGAGTAAGCACTGAGCCCCATACAGCTGCTAGCAACACGCACCAACAGGCACATGCACAAAAGGAAAGAGTGTGTGTGGGGGGTGGGGGGGGGGCTGCTTGGTCACAGGATTGCACGACATGCTCACACAGACCGTGCTGCCATGAAAAGAGACAAAGCTCCGGCCAGATACACTGGCATGCATCGCCATGGACACAAGGGGTCGGCCATATGGCTAAATTGCATATATGTCAAAAGCCAACTATTGTTGACGTTTAAAGAGAAACACAATGACATCACTGCGGCAGGGTCAGAGGTCAACACAACACCGTGTGTGTAGACCGTGTCCAAGGATGGACGACGTGACGGCTCCCCAAAGTGGACCTGGTGGCTGGTTGGTCATTAACCCTACCGCCTCCATGTTAGCAGAAGGGACAAGGACCAAACCGAATCGTCAAAGTACGTGTTAAATATGTTTTGTTTGTCCCGAAAGGTGGTTTATGTCACTTTTTGAGTTTCTATCATTTCTTATTCAGCGCCATAAGAAGAGTCGATTCATTTCAATCATGTGTGTCGACACCACAGCGCCATCTCCTGATGGCTATAGCAAAGCAAAAGTGGCGTCATCCATATCTGGGTTATTTTAGCTTGCAACCAGTGAATTTTTTACGGTCACGACTGTGTCAAACCGCCTACAGAGCCACTTTTCCACGCCTATAAGGACTCGACTTCCTGTAGATTAAAGAGGGACCGGCCTTCTGTATACGACGCCCCCCCGTCAGCATCATTTGCCGTCTCTGGTACAATACCCCCGCCTGAAAATACCTCTCACTGACAGGCACTGGCCTACTTCCCAAAGTACTCACATCGGGCTGAAACCCCTGCGAGGCGCTTTTGAGAAAACCCTTGCTTTATATTTAAAGCTCTTTTCCTCCAAGTGTCTTGTTCTAGTTCCTTTCTTCCTTCCGTCAACTCTCTAAGCTTCTATCTATCCCTGTGATATATGAGAGTTATGTGCACAAGCTTTTTGATTGTGTACTTTTTATCCACGGCTTCCAGCCTCGGAGGAGCACCTGGATCGATGGGATGTTTAACATACTCCCTCTGCTTTTTAAAGCCTGCAGCCAACAAGCTCCTCACCATCAACACCCCCCCCCCACCACCACCTCCCACCGGTGCTAATCGAACCCCCCACCCCCACCCCAAAAAAACCCCAATCACGTGACCACCTTGCTCAACACTCACGGGAGGTCCTCTTCTCACCGGGCCCGTCTCCCACTTCCTGCTCAGCTGCTGGTTACCAAGGTGAACCATCGCCATGGGCAACGGAGCAAAAGAGGAGGAGGAAGACCGGGAGGAGGGAGGTGAGTCGGAGAAGAGATGTGAATAGATGTGAGAAGAGGGCATGAAATCGATGAGGCCATGCAACAGCTTTGCAGCTCATGTGCCCACACACTGAGATGGAGATGCAGACGGGAACACACACACACACACACACACACACACACACACACACACACACACACAGACACACACACACACACACACACTAAAGTAGAGAGTGAGATGACCTGGCATTCTCGACAGCCAACGATCTCGTCCACATTACAGAAACGAGTGCGAGCGATACGCACATTCCTCCCTCACAAGTTAAATGTTTCATCCATTTATAGAACTGCACAAATTAATCTTCTCCACCTCCACTGACATGAATATAAGTTTTGACTTTAACTCTCCTTTAATTAAAGCAGAGCTTTATCGCTTCATGCGGGAGATTTCCAGAGTTTCATTTTTCACAGAGCCTGTGTTGCGAAAGGTCTTGTGTTTCTTTTAAATGTCATTCTGCTAAAAACAGGGTTGCATTTAAGCAGCAGGACTCGTGATATTTAACAGGGAGAGAAATTAGAGAGGCTGTGAGTACACTCCGCTCGTCAGCCGAGGATATTTTTATATGAAAGAGACGTCTACAGTAGCTGCTAATACCACGCTGAATTAAAATATATCTCACTGAGGCACAAAGTCACTACACTGGTTTATGAGAAATCATTTCATCTAAAGTTTCCACTCGGAATAACAAGTCAAGAATCATTGTGTGCTTAAGATATAATTAAAACAAGGAGCGCTTTATTTAAGTCTTTTTTTTTTTTTCTTTCTTCATTTCATTGGATTATTGTGATTGAGAGAAAATCTGTTCTGCCCAGAAATGTTCTTTTGCTGATGGCAGGGCCCCAGAAACAGTCTTTAGACCAACATGGAAGACAAATTTCTAATTAAATTGAGACTATACAGAAGGCCTGTGTCCAAAACCATTCACCCTTTACTAAATACTCCTCAATACAGAGTGGCTCATCATCGCTGCTTACGTGCTCTTTTAGACGCGATGTTCAAATTACCCCACAGAGCAGCGCAAAAAAGGTTTTGTGCAATCAATGGCCACAGCTACCTCCCATCATGCATCGCTCAGACCACTAAAACAGGTTTGGATGAAAGGTATTATTTAAAAAGGGTAATGATAGCAGGTAGAAAGAAATACAACCTGCTTCTACAACCGCCATGTTCAGAGTGTGTGTAAAAATACAAACGTGGTGTATTCTTGTACTTCATAAGTGGGTTTCACTGGGGAAGGAAATCTGAAGCTTACACCTACTCAAAGTGACAAGTTCAGAATCTGATCTCCCAACAGCTGCGTCACGAGGAACCTGATTCCTCGAACATCAGAGACGCAGCAAAGCGGTTCAAGTCGTTCACTTTATTCCTGAATTCTGGCTCCTGGAGTTCAAACGTGGAGATTTACAGAAAATACAGAGGAACATGTTTTTTTGTTTTTCATTTGTTTTAGTTTTTTTTTTTTTTTGAGGGGGATGAATCAACGAGAAATGTGGGTGGAATAACAAAAATCTAGACGGTAAGACGGACGACACGACAGCTCACAAAAGTAAAGTCAACTTATCTTGATCACCCCCTGGTGGCTGGCTGTAGTTATTAATCCCTGCCTCCTCCATGTTAGTGGACGGGACATGGAGGGAGGGCGGATCCAACAAAACTCCAAACACACAAACTACTGCAAAAAAAAAAAAACCCAGTCAAAGTCAAATAAACTATGGTGTTCTGTATATTAAGTGGAAAACATCTTGTTAGTATCTGCAGGCTGTTTATCTCTTATACCAACATATACTTTAGTTTTATCGTTCACAACTTGTTACTATGCAAAAAAAAAAAGCTGTTTTGACAGCCTCTGCCTTGAAGCTAATATGTGAGCAGTTTGGAAATTCAACTCCAGCAGTCCCCTGTGGCAGAAACAAATAACTATGGCAGCATGACAGCGATCCGTGTGGTTACGATCTGACCTGGGAACACGAATGTGCAAAGACAACGAGACAGAGACAAACAAACTGTGACCGCAGAGTTTTTTAAAAGATGCAAAAAGTGGCAAATTTTGAATCTCTGAATCTGAAGTCGCAGCAGAGACGAAGCGTCATCGCCGCACAGAAAATAATGTTTGCTGAGATTTCATAATATTCTAACCTCTAATACTTGGTTAATCATTTCCTTTAGTGAACCACCTCCGCACACTTCACTGAGTGACAGACCACAGTGATGGCCCTCTGCTCCATCAGCACAAAAGAAACACGGCGGTTTGAGCCCCTCAGTGGCCACTCGGAGGGGGTCAGCTCTCCAGCCGCGCAGTTTCAGCTCAAGCCTCTGCTGCGCGGAGGGGAGACGGGCGCCACCGCACGAGAGCCTCCATTATGGCTCCGGCACAAGAGCCCTGCTCCATTATGGCTTCCACATAAGGGCCTTCATTCGGGCTCTTAGTCATTCTAATGAGTCGCGCTCCGCAGCTCTGCAGAGCCTCTGACTCGGTTTGTTGCAGGGGCCCCGCGTAACAGCTCCCACGCGACTCCGGGCGGCCCCTAATGCAGAAGAGCGCTCGATGAGGATTGCGACTTTTTTTCATTTCTGTAATTGTGAAGCTTCAGAGGGCTCTTAGGCAGAGATTTAATGGCGTCTAATGGAATCTCATCACAGAACAAGAGAGAAAAACTGACTAAGAGGGAGAACACTGACTAATGTCTCTGCATAGTTTCACTTTGCTTTTCGACCTAAATCCTGTGACTTCTTGAATATTACTTTGTGGGAAATATTTTTCATGGATTTCTTGTGTACACGTGTTTATTTACCTTTATTTTTAAGGCAACATACAGATAAATTCACTCGATATAACTTCATCGATTTCGGTGCCATGATTCACCCAGAATGTGATTAATCACTGCATTACAGAAAAACAAAAAAAAGTGCATTTCTGTGTATCTGCTGCATCTCTAACTCCCACTGTTGCTTCTCTTCTCTCCCTCATTTTTCTCTTGACATTTCTACCTGAAGCAACGAATGACAGCATCTCTAACTCTCTTTCAGTCTGAAATCCATTAATCCCCTTTCACTTTCACAGCCGTCTCATATTTCTCTCGCTTCTGACCAAGGAGAGCAGACACTCTCGCTTTTTGTCTCCCAGCTGGTTCGGGTTATAGCCTCCCACTCGCATCTTCAAGTCTGCCTCTGCGGTACAGTTAAAAACCGATGAGTTGTTGCGGTGTTAAGTGTTTTTTTTTTTGTAATGATCCACACATTGGGACGCCATGCTTCCAGAGAGATGATACTCCCTTGGTGGCTCTCAGTGACCTGTCTCAACACGATGCTGCTCGGTCCAGAAAGCAGCAGCATCATCTGAAGGTGCAGAAGAATCTATTTACAGCTTGTCTGCAGCCACATGAGCCGTCAGACGAGGATATAAATAAAGCTTCAAAAAATGAATTCTCATTTATTATTTGAGTTCTGACCCGGAAACTAAAAAGTCACAATAACGTATGTTTAAGTGTTGTTAAGTTTTCGTTTTAATCAGTTATTTGACTCACGGTTAGTCGAGCGCGTGCGTCGGCGGGACCTCGGTGGCGGGGCTCCATCTCTTCTGCACAGACTCGGGCTCCAGAAAAGATCCTCGACACAAGATTCCAACATCCAGGATATTTTATTTCTGGGGGAAGCGGAGACACAGCGTCCATCTTTATTTACAGTCTATGGTCAACGGTCACACACTGATTCCTGACACACAAAAATACCCAGAATGCTTTATCCTCTTTCACAAAGTTTTTTGTACTCATCTAACTTGCTACTTCTGCTCGGATAAACTTCACATTGGTTTTGCCGCTGAATCACGACTGTGTTGTCTCTCATGTCTCCTTTCATGAGTCGCAGCCACAATCCATTAATGTCTGGTGTCCTTATTTCTCTGAGTTTGCAAGTGAAAGTCTGAAAAACATGTGCACACCGACCATTAACCTGCTTCCTCCTGAGAGGCTGCATTCATCTCCGTAATATAGATGCACTAATTCAATTACCTTGTACTCTTTGCTATAATATCCTGTCCAGATGCCCGCTAGGATGAAACATGTCTCATGAGACAATCTTCATCATTGCCCAACATTCTATTATTTACAGGGGGGAATTCATTTATTATGTATTTTAATGGAAATGCAATTATTTTTGCATGCAACCATATTGGAAACGTAACCAGTGCAACATTTGAGATCATAACGCATGTGGTTCAGTACATTATGTTGAATTATAACAGAGCAGCAGCCGGATGCATGCAGCAGTGCGCTATTAAAGATTAAAATCAGTTCTCACTCATGTTCTACAAACAGATTCATCCACATGGAAATCTAAACAAGATGTGTGTTTTTCTGCAACGCATTGGAGGAGCGCTGCATTTGACAGAAAGGAAGAGAGCGAACGAAGACATCGGTGGGGGGGGTGGGGGGGGGGGGGGGGGGGGGGGGGGGAGATCAGGAGGTTGACACACTGACAGCTGTCTTTGATTCACCTGCAAGCTTCCGTGAGCATGCACACGCACTCAAACGCACGCCGGCAACACCCACTCGCACACAAACACGCGCAACGGGGGTGACAGCACGGAGCATGGAATTTACATTAATAAGACTTCTTGTTTTTCCCCTCACTTAGACAAGAGATATTTGAAGCATTTATTAAATTATTAATCTTTTTATTTATTCATTTAGTCACTCAGTCAGTCATGTTTTTTTCATGGCCGAGGAGCTCGGTGTAATTTCATTGAGCTTCCAGATGGTTGAGGGTTTAATTAACAACTTCAAAAGCAATAACTGGAGAGCTGGCCAAATATACACCCCCCACACACACACACACACACACACACATACATGATATTAGCAGCCTATGTAAAAATCCTGCACAAGCACAAATGCACATCATCCACACATGCTTATTAATTCATACTGCACAAAAATCAAACAGAAAACCGGCCATTGTGCTCCCAGTGTGTTTATGTACACTTCCCCTCTCCTCGTTATGGAGCCTGCTCCCCCAGCTCCCCGGCCTGTCAGCGGAGGTGATAGTTGGAGTGGAGGGGAGGTGCTGTGGATGGGCTCGGGGCTCCCAGACTGTAAGTCACACCCTGCTGATTGGATCTTACCGGCCTCTCGGGGACAATAAAAACACCTCGTCTTCCCTTCATCTCTCCCTCCTCCCTGGCTTTACTGGCAACCGTCGCCATTATTCCACTATAATGACATTATTTTGATTGGCCAGGCAACAGTGGGCGTCCATCTGCTCGCATTAGGCATAGTAATCAGACAGCGCTGGGATATGGTTATATGACTGGCACAGGGCAAAGAGCCTTTAACCCGGCCGGGGGGGGGGGGTATCAGGCGTCCGCGGCAGTTTCTGTCTCTTTTCTTCAGACGAAACAGAGACAATCCACAGATAGTTGCAGCACGGTGCCGGCTTTTGGTCCAGTCCTTGATGTTTCTGGCCTGGAACAGACTCTGAAGATGCCAGAATTATAACAAAACCAGCAGCTGGCATCAGTTCAGTGAACCCTATGGTATGGCAGGGTTCCTGCATCCAGCATCGTCTGCCATTAAATCGTTATTTGGGTCATGTGAAGCTGAGGTTTTAATGATTTTTGTCCGACTTCGAAAGTAAAGGGCAGGTGTGTGAAAAGTAAAGTGTTGTACTGTACTGGGTGTAAGGTAACGGCTGTGGAGTTAAAACCATGGCATAGGTGGACGTGTCAGACAGGTCGTTAACCCCGTTTCCTCCATGTAAGCAGGAGAAACTAAAAAGTCCACATAAATGTCAAATAGTTTTCTCCTTAAATAAAGCTATAGAACCTTTCCCGTCCCTGCTGTAGAGGGAAACATTTGGATCGGACACATGCAGGTTTAATTGTTGATGTGAAGCTTTCAATACCCAAAATACCCAAACTCCAGTTGAACCTGGACATCTACACAGTGAACGGGGGGGGGGGGGTTATTTAATGAGCTCGCCAAAACCAAGGGACATTTAATAGGTTTGCAAACCCGAAATTGGCAACACCCTCTAGCAATACCAGATCAAGTCAACAGGGAATCGAGACTGTTGGCTCATTTAAATGTTTCCCCCAAAAAGAAGAAGAAAGTTCTGCTGCTTGTTTCTACTCGTGCTGTGGGTCAGGAACCCAAATGGCTTGAATGCGTTTGATTTCCGAAAAGAAATAGTTTAAGTCCCACGTTGACTCTCGAACCGCTGCCAACAAATTCTATCAGCAGGCGCCAGTCAGGTTCTTAAATAAAACACATGAAAACAAGAAAAAAAAAAAAAACTCTCTTTAGATGTCATGAAAGAATTCCTGATTAATAACAAATAAAGTAGCTTATGAAATCCTGAGTTTGCCCTTTGGATTAGCGAGTGTGGAGACGGCACAGATATTTTCTCACTGTCATCCATTGTTTGCGAGGTAAACAGGACAATGAGGATCTTCAGAAGGCCTCCAGATCAATGTCTGTCCTGCTGGAAATGTCAGTCCGCTCTGTTCATTAATCTTTTGCCACCAAACAGAACAAAAGAGCTTTGTGAGATATTGGACCGTCCACATCACTTTGATGAATAATCCCCCTTTGCTCACAACAAAGGGAAATTGCTTACACTACAATTTTTGCCTCCGAAACTAGATTCCTCTGTGCACACCTTCACTTTCACATTAAGAGGTATATGGAATAAGCTTCCTAAGAGGTCTCCTGGGACTGTTTGTGAGGTGGCCATAAAAGCAGATCCCCAGGTTTCCCTATCAACTGCAATTTATCAGAATACATTTGAACGTAACCCTTTGTTTTTTTAAATTAGCCGACTGGTCATTTCAGCAGCATCACATAGATCCTGTTTCCACAGGGCGGAGGGTGAAGAGAAACACGGGTCTTTTTTCAAATCATTTAAACAAATGGCCGGTGTTTCCTCTTATCTGGGGTCGGATGGTCGTTTGAAAAAGACAAAAAGAAACACTCAAGATAACTGATTCTCAACATGTCCACAGCTGATTTCTTAGGTATTGTTTACGCAGTTTTGCTTCTACAGATGTCAACGATTTCAGCAAATCACCGTTTGGAACTACTGGTATCAGCGTTTTCTATTTACTGATAAGCACCGATATCCATCCGACCATTATCAACACCACTTATCCCTTAAAGTAGAAGCTACCTCAAAGGTGTGCACGTAGCCTTCGCACACAGCCAAACATTCACAGTCTGCAATTTCAACTTCCGATAAACTAGCAGCGGTAGAGTGGTTACTAATACTTTATGTTAGGAGTTGCACGTCAGGGTACAGCGTAGCTTCGACGCCGAAGCATGACTTGGGCTTTAGAGTCTCCAGTTGACCTAAACCAATTTTGAGAGGACGCCAGAAAACCCAGGCAGACACACGACTCTAATACGAAGTCTCTCCCATCTTCCTTTACTGAACACGCTGCTGAATGTCACATGTGCCAGTGTTAAAGAAAGCAATTAGCCACTGTTGGCATGTCCTGGTCTGTGGATGAGTAATGACCGGTGGGGCCGGAGTGTCTAACCCTGATAAATTCTACTGTCCCTCTGCCTTATTAGTACAATGACGAACTGGGGAGGGAGGGGGGGGGG